CTTTGAGCCTATATTTAGTATAAGTAAAATACTTAAGTACTGTTAAAATCAGATACTCTAAGACTTTTACTCAAGTTGTTTTGGAATTGGTGGCTTGTAATGTGTAGTGGAGTAATTTTCACTGTAAGGTATCTGTACTTTTACTCAAGTATGGTTTTATGTACTCTTTACACCTCTGCCTCAGGGAAATTGGACTATTACCATTTTCTATAAATGCTAAAAATATCTACCCCCCTCCCCCCCCCAGATTTGATTGATAAATAGACGTTTTAAGTCATTTAGATATATTATTATAATTAATTTTTATGTTTTAAAATTTTGTACAATTTAATAATATATTATTATATAAAATAAAAATCACAAATGAAATCCTAATATCTCAACTGTTTCTTCTAGACGGCAATGATAACAAATTAAGAGTGGATTGAGAACTTAGCTTAAGTCTCCAGCTTCTCAGGGTTTTCTTCTGAGTTAAAGGCCTCAGTAATCTCATAGCTGCCGCCTCTGTACTTTTATGAGTTCAGTAATGTCTTAAGCTGTGCTTAGATAAGCAGGGGTCCCAAAATCTGCAAAGAAAAGTCAGATATTTCCATATGACCTCTTTGAACTTTCAACATTCCTCCTCGCATTCTTCCACAACCAAATTATCTATCCACATTTATGTCATAGCTCTTTGCTCTTATGTCAACAACTATCCCATTTGTGTGTATTTAAAGAAAGAGGTTCGAACTAAGTTGAATCATGAATAAAACATAACTGAAAACTTCATTAAGTCTCCTGAGCTGAAAAAGCAGCCTTTAAGCAATAACATTATGCTCATTTCAATGCAGAGAAAGAAAGTGGTGACTTAGCAAAAGAAGGATTTTCACAAGGACAGATACTTAAAGGAACAGTTCACCCCAAAATGAGAATTCTTTCATAATTTATTCACTCTTACTTCCGTCAAACACAATTCCAGCAGGAATTGTAGTAAAAAAACTAAAAAATGATGCACTATAAAAGTGTTATTAATATCCATGTGATAAATTTAAAGTCCCCTGAAATCATACAGTTTTGTGTGAGACTTAAATGTTTAACTCTCGAATGAATCCATGTTTTTTTAACAAATCATTTGAGTGAATGATTCAATGACTCTTTCATAAAGACAGTCCCTGTGTCCCAGTGTGCATTCTATCCATCCTAAATAGTATGTGAGATTAGAATAAGTGTGCCCCTAAGCATAGTATGTTGAAAAGTGTATGCTAAATGTCCCCAGATGGTCTACTATTTCCGGTAGATTTTTGAAGTGTGGATCTGTGCACACTCTGACAGCTAATATTACCCACAACCCATTGTGCTTTGGCATTTAACCTGGTAAAAAATATACTCATTTAATGTTAATGTTATATTTCATCTGCAACAACAATGTGAACTTTTAAAAACCTCCTTTTGGCCATTAATTTTTGAATGCATTATTATGCAAAAAATATGAGCAGAGTTCTCGGCATGAAAGACCCACAGCTGTCAGATCAACGTGCTACGTCTTTTCTCTCTGATACTGTAGGATGATTTATTAAATGAAATGTGGAGGATGTTAACTGTGACAAGATGATTGACAGGCCAGTTTACAGTGACACAACTTATTCTAATCTCACATATTATTTACGATGGATAGTATGCATATTGCGACGCAGGGAGGATGCGCTAAAGACAATAGTATGTCCCAAAGCTTGCCTACTCTTCTTCACAAAAAGAGTACATACTTTAAAGACCAAGGTATACTTCGGTTTTTACGCATACGCGAGGGTCCGTGTACAGTCCCTGATAGCACACGTACATCACAGAGACGTCTATTTGACATCTGCATTTACATCTGTAGGACGTATTTTTAAAGTGTTGCTCATCTGCAATATGTCTATCAGACGTTTCCTATCAGATGTCAAATAAACGTTTAGAAATGTCTTTAATATGTTTATGATTTTGAATGTGATTTAGAAACTGACATCTTAAAGACGTTTATCAGATGTGTGTACACAGCAGATGCTTTCCAGATGAAGCAATCTTTAACAGACATCTTGCAGACATACGTGTGCTATCTGGGTATGTAACCAAAGAGTCACTGAAAAAAATATTTTCTCTTCAACTTGAAGTTTTATTTATTGAGTTAAAATATATAAAAATTTAAATCAATAATTAAAATAAATAGTACATAAAAAGACAAAGTTTTTGACTTTTAAAGGCTTTAATTTTTGAGTGTTTCTCCACTGGCTTTGAAAGTCATAATTGTGTTTTGATTTAAAGAACATTTTATAATGGAACAAAAAGGTTGTCTACTACTGGACTAGTATAGAATGTGGTTTTGTTGTTGAGCAAACTGCAGTAAGCTATTCTCTAATGTGAGCACTCCTGTCAATGACAGAGAGAGAGAGACAGAGAGAGAGAGAGAGAGAGAGAGAGAGATGATGAAGATGAAAGAAAGATGATAAGATTTCACAATCCAGAGCTTAAAGGGGTCATATGATGTTGCTAAAAAGAACATTATTTTGTGTATTTGGTGTAATGAAATGTGTTTATGTGGTTTAAAGTAAAAAAAACCACATTATTTTCCACATACTGTACATTATTGTTTCTCCTCTATGCCCCGCCTTTCTGAAACGCGTCGATTTTTACAAAGCTCATCGGTCTGAAAAGCGAGGTGTGCTCTGATTGGCCAGCTATCTATCAGCTATCTACCCATCACAAACGAGGCATTTGTTGCATCCAGTGGGGACATAATTACTGATTATAATGACTTATACTGTCTTTTCACGCGTTGTGTTGCATCGCATTGCGCCGCGTAAACATAAAACCATGTCTGCATTTGTGTTCG